GCGGAAAAAGAAAAGAAAAGATTTGATCCCTCTTCTTGGATTATCGTATTTAAGTCCCTCATATATGCCTTTGTATGAAAATATGGTGTTTATGTTTGGGGTCTTAAATCTCGCTTTTACTCATTTTGGCCACCTCCTTTTAGTCTAATATGTGAGATTGTATGTGTCGAAACGATTTTTCCTTATGGGTGAGATTTTAAAAACCACATTAATTCTTAATTATCTCTTTTTAATTTAAAAACAAATGTGATTTAAAAGACCTCTCGTTTCGAAAAATATTGGATTTCCTTTACGATCAAAAAATACGGTTCGAAGAGTCGTCACTAATCTTTGATTAGGGTGTGATTGGGCACCCAAAAATGTTTGCTATTTTAATTAAAAAAATTAATTTTAATTAAAACAACAAGTTAAGGTCTGCGTTACCAAAATCGAGTTCGGGAGTCGGTTACGTGTGGGGAAGGATTAACACCCTCACAGCGACCTAAATCGGTACCTAGTCGATTAATTAATGTCTTTGCAATGAACTTTACAACTTCGAATTTAATTTGATTTTTGATCCCATAAAACAAAAATGTAAATTTAAAAAACATTTAAAAGCACTCAAATAAATTAAATTAAAATTACCGAGTCGTTTTAAAAAGATAAAGAATGTTCGATTATTTACAAATATCGAGACTAGATCTTAAAAGTTATAACAACCTTTTCTCGATAAATTTAAATAAACGAACATTTCATTTTCTTTCGTTTCCAAATTTTAGGTGACGAATCAATTTTTGGTTTCACTTTCGGGATACACTTTTAATTTAAAATCATTAAAAGCAGACCTCAAATCAGTTATGACTACCCACTTAAAACAATTTTAAATTAAAAATATATTATCCTTAATCCAATTATGTAATATGTCGAGTTATGCAAATGAGGCTATCATGCATATTATGCAAAATGATGTCATGCAAAAACTAATTAAATAACGTCACATATTCAAATGAACACCTAGGTCTAAAATAATACATACACATGCACTTATGGTTATCTATTTTACAAAGGAATTTTTAAATTCTTTACATTTAAATTATTAAACATATCCTATTCATATAAATGTATGACAAAGACTTTTATCCTAAATCAATTAATACCCAAATTAATATTTATCTTATATTTACATGGCCTAAAATAAAGTACGGTGATATGGTACATACATGCATACAACGACATTGACATACATTAGAATAAAATAATATATACAATAAAACATACTATTAATAACTCGATTTCATATTCAAAATTACCATGAAGGACCAGAATAAAATAAAATTAAACTAAGCATGCAAAGTAGGAATTAACCATTAAATTAAACAAGCATGTTAAGTGACTAAATTTTCAAACAACCAAAATTACAAATTACATTTCAAAAATAAAACATAAAAACATTTCAAGACTAAAATGAAAAGCGCTCGAAACTACAGGCCAGAAATATAAACAACACAAAATGTAAATTAACTAACGAGAATGGACTAAAATTGATATTCTGAAATTTAAAAGTCGAATACATAAAGTTGTGAAAAACTTAAAATAATATGGCCCGTACTAAGATGTAACAGACATAACAATTAAGAACCAAATTCGAAGATTACACAACATGGAAACTGGGACTAAAACAAAATGACTGAGAACTGCAAGGGGCCGCGGCGTGTTTAAACCTCTCCTAGACACGGGTTTTACACGGCACCGTTTTGAAGACTGAATATATCAAAATATCTTAGGTTTAGTTTTAACCTAATTTCTTTTTTCTCTCCTTAGTCTAACAGATCATTTTCTTCCCCCCCCCACGCCGTTCTCTCAACTTCTCTTCATTGTTCTCAAACGGCGCTGCTCTCCAAGCACCACCATACACGGTTGGCCACCCCAACCCTCCTGGAAACAACGACCGCCTTTTCCTATCTACTCCTCGCAGCGGTCGCATCGACCACCACCTTGGTGGCCACTTTACTCAACGACAACCACTCAACAAAGAGGAAAACCCAAGCTAAGCCATATAAACCGAGAATCTCGTTTTTATCTTCTCACTCTCTCGACGAGGGCCTTAGAAACTCACTGTCTTCACTCAACCGACTTCTCAGATTTACCTCTCCGACGCTCGACCATGGAAACCAAAGGCGGAATATTACATAAACAAAGAGACCATACACTTAAGGTAAGACTACCCTCTTCCCTCTATCTTTATATTTCCATTTCAAAGTACTCACATACCCACACACAAACACCGTACACTACAAACTAAAATAGAATCGAATATTCTTAAGAAAATTCCATTGATTTTTATAGATATAGAAAAACATCTCAAATACGAAAATGAGTTTTAACACTTACCTTTCTTCTGTTACAAAGGAAAATGAAATAGGAATTTGTTGTGTTGCCATGCGTGTAAAAAATGAAGGGAAAATAAGATCCTTTGATTTCACTGACTTCAATTTGTCCTCCCTTTTCGTTGTTGATGATTTTTCTCCTTTGTTTGTTTACACTTCTCTTTTAAAAATCTAGAGAAATACCTCTCTCTTTTAATTTCTCTTTTGTTTACAATCCGAAAACCCCAAAAAAAAATGTTTCTCAATGATGACTAAATGCTTTTTTGAAACTTGTGTGTTTGTCTTTTCACTCAAAAACGGTTGTCCTCTCTCACCCCCCAAGGAATTGCTTCTTTTTTCTCCCTTTTGTTTCATGTATGTGCCCCACGTTTCTGGTAGTTAATTACTAATATAAACTGATATTTTATGGTTTTCTTGACTGCTCAACATATCTCTCTCTATTGCTAACGGTTTCCCCCACGTTTTGGTGCTGCCTTGGTTATTATATTTGTTTGCAAATCTCCTTTCATTTTCAGTTGGCAAACCGTTCATGCAGGAGCTGGGGACCACTGTTGCTGGAAGCTGAGCTCGATTCTTAGTTGTTGAGCTGCCAGTGTGGCTTTGATCTCCCACCAATTGAGCACCTTGAGATAAAATATTTAGATAGCATTTCGTAAAGCTCAATTAATATATGTATATATTCAACATTAATTTATTTCTACTATATATAATTATAATACGTATAACATATAAATACCCTAACAATTTATTTAACTAAACAATATTAATTAATAAATCTAACTAATTTAAGTATAATTACTAAAATAAAAAAAACCAAATAAAACCCAAATGACACCCCGGACAAATCGAGCATCTACAATATGGACTTAGTGCATGTGTAAACCCTATTATTTTCCACTATTATAATTTAGTCCTTAATAATGTTTACTATTTTTTCTATTTCACCACTATATTTCTCATTCATTCATTATAATCCTATTTTTAGTGTGTATATATATATATATATGCAATATTCAAATTATTTCAAATATGTATATTTTATATTAAATTAAATATATTTTTCCCTTGTATGTTTATGTACGTATACTTTGCTAATCTTTTAGGAATTAATATTCTTTTGAAAATTAAAATACCTTATACTTGATACTAATATTTTTTAAATATTTTATTCAAATATTTTCAAGAATATTCCATCGTAGAATGGACATGAAAAGCATTGCTTGATCGAAGTAATGTGAATCGATACGACATTCGAATGAAAAGTGAATTTGAAATAAGTCGAGTTTTTTTATAAAAATGATAATTAATTCGTTTTTATTTTAATTCAAATAATGTAATGTATGATTCTTTAAATAGTAAGTTACTTTATGCAATTACTAATATTCAATTTACATTCGATTTGTGCTTCTGATAACATTGAGGAGTGGACATTTCTCATATAAAAGAGAAATAGACACAATACACTTCTCATTTGGGATATGCAAATCTCGTGATTTTTAGTGTTCCCTAATAATTAATTTAAAATAAATTAATTAATGTTAAATAAAAGAATCACACTTTAAATATTGATTCGAATTTTTTAATATCTACCACGACAATATGCAAGCAATTAAGTACCAATTTTTGGGCGTTGTAGAGGTGCTTAACCTTCTACATGCGTAATCGACTCTCGAATCCTTCAAAATGAATATACAAACGTAGTCCAATTTTTGTCTTAAAAACGATTTTTCTTAAAATTGTTTTAAATGACATTTTTTTGTATTTGACCTACTTAACCCAAAGGTCTATGACGACTCAAAATCAATTCAATTTTTTCCTAAGTAAGTCATAATTTAGGGTTTTCATCGAAAACTTATTCGATCATCAATAAAAGACGTTAAGATAGAATCCATCTGAGTTTTGATCGAATCCATCTGAGTTTTGATCGAATCAAACTCGAGTAACTCACAATCTATCTCATTTCATTTATAACCCTACTAGACAGTCATTCAAGTATATTCAGATGTTACACTTATATTGTCATTCAGGTATATTCAGATGTTCGAAGATTTCTTTATTTTTTATTCGACAGTGCTCTCTATGCTTTTATTTTGTGATTTAGAAATACCAAGTAGAACCATGAAGTGAATTTAACAGTAAAAGGAATTATTATTCTCTTTAGAAATCTTAAATTCGAACAACTGCATCTATAAGATAAATCATTATATATATGTACATTGTGATGAGGCTGGTACATTTTACATCCGTAGGGTTTGTATGTTTTTGTAGGGACTAATATCTGGATATTGGATTGTATGTTTTCAATCCTTTCAAAATATGTTGAATATGAGTTATTTTTAAGAAAAATGAAGAGTCAAACAACAGATCCTTTAATTTAGTTAGGTATGACAAAGGGGCGGGGCGGGTTTCATCTACCCGACCCTGACTTCAAAGTTAAAATCCATGAAACAATTGGTGTTGGAGGAGGGGAGAAGAATGAAAAAAAAGAGAGAGAAGTAAACTATATAAATGGTTAGTAAAGTATGAGTAAATTTATCTTTCAGCACTAAAGTTATAAAAATAACAAACTGATTACTAATATTCTCATTTAATAACAAATTGGTCACTTGACCGCTAACATTCGTTATCCTAATAACAAAAGATTGATGTTTATCAAAACCATTGATATTTAAGGTGACAATCTCCATTGCACTTTCAGCTTCACGCCAACCATCTTGATGCTCTATTAAGCACCTAAACATGCAACATATCTTAAAGAATCGGATCCGATGAAAACGAAACTATAATAGTTCAATTTATCATATTTTTCTTTGTCCTTTTGAGGTGTGTTAAATACCTTTGTCCGGTACATATCCGGACATGGATATGGAGATATGATCCTCCAACTACATGCAAATATTGGGGGTGGGGTGATTAACATGTTTGTGTTGGACAAATGCTTATTTCCAAGTATGAGTACCATAACAACAAAATCTGATCAAAGGTTTGGTTATTTTCTGTTTAATGAAAACTTACATGACTGGTGGAAGCAGATTCATGATTTCCCAAAACCAACACCGGCTTTCTTCCTTTTCCGAGTTTCTACCTTTTCAGGGCTCGGGAGTCCGGTATTATCTTCATATTTCCTTTCTAATGCCTGCAATTTAGATCAGTATCATCCAACAAGTCTAAAAGAAGGTTAATCTTTACGGTCATCTTATTTGTTAGATAATATTATGATCTATTTTATTCCGATTCCTCATTTTTCTTGAAGTACCGACACATCTGACATATATCAAGACATAATAGTATAGGGATATTACTCTCAGAGGACCCCTCCAGATACATCGAAAAACTTGGAAAGAAATGAAGATCATCACGTGGACATATACTTGCAATTGAGTCCATGTAACAGAGATTTTGATCATTCAGAAGGTTGTACTAACCTCTAGCTGTCCGCGAATGCTGTCGAGAACTTCATCAGTCATTCTGTCAAAAAACAAAATCCCCTGCAAATGCAAGAGCCATAGTTGTAAAAGGAATATCATCACGTGCTTATCGAACTATTACAAAATGGTCCCTGTGCTTATAAATCGAGCACAACATTAATTCACCCGTGTGCAGTGTCTCAAAATCTATATAATGTTATATTAATGTACAAACGTGTCTCTGTGTGTATTACACCTTAATCACGATTATGAGAGGGTAAAATACAAGAACATATTAATACAATAATTGCCAGATCTACGTTTGTCGGCCCTTTCACTCTATAGGATTTTGAGACAAGGGTTGGCTAATAAAGAGTTTTGGGGCAAAGGCTGATGTACCCAAAAGGCAGAAGAAACACGAGATCGCTAGAATGTAATTAACAGCCTCGTCTTAGTATCCACATTCCTACATTGTGTAGAATTAAGTAAAAAGCACAATTTAATCTGTGTACCATAGAACAGAGTAATCAACCTTTGAAAGTTTAATATCAGGCAAAATAAGTAAAATTAATAACAATATTAACAGAAAACCATTATCGGACTTTTGAAACCCGACAATGCAGACCTATAGATAGAATTAAAGAAGCAAAAGATTTTGTTCTATTAAAAAACAAATATGCTTTGTCGAAATTTATAAGTACATATGGCAACTTTACTTACCAATATGATATGTACAATGATTAGATTATGCAATTTTATAGTACAGAGACTAAATTGACTTTTCACTGTTGTACGAAAGCTGCCTAGATACTTTAACTCTCTACTCCCATGCAACATACTCAACAATCAACATTCACTCTATACATACATATATAAATATACCTAGATAATTTAATCATTGTAACTATGAAGGTCTAACTCTTCATTTTTCTTGAGTACCCATATAAGACATTTGTGTTCAACACGTGTAAGGAAATATGGCCTCGAAATACATGAAAAAAAAATTAGAAAATCAAACCCGACTTGAAGTAACATTGGTATAAAGACCGCTTAGATACTTTAACCCTACTCCCATGCAGCATAGAGTTCAATAATCAACTTTCAATATATATATAAATTAGCTAAAAGTACACAAAATCGATCTCCTTACTCTAGCAATTGGTAAATTGGGAACAATATAATCACAATTATACAAAAAGAACCTGAAGATGGTCAAATTCATGTTGGAAAACCCGTGCAGGAAGCTCTGATAAATCCACTGTAAACTTCGCACCATTAATATCTTGTGCATCAATCTTTACAGATTCCAGCCTCTGAAATCAAATCACCAAAACGAGCAAAGGATAAGCTAGTGAGCCAAAGAGACAATACATTATATAGATGTACACACGAAGGTTGTTTTCAAATGCATGGCGCACTCTAAATGCTAGAACTTTTTATATTGCCAAATGCAAAGTGCCAAAAAACCGCTCAACTAAATGAAATACGGAGCAATATGTATATGTTCATATTTTTGCAATGTGTCTATGTGTAATATATATATCACTATATACATAGAATAAGTTTATGGTATATAATAATGATAACAAACACTAAAGAGTGCGTCTAAAATACTTACCAAACATGCAAATGTTTTTCTTTTTGCTTTTTTTTATTAATAAAAATGTCTTCCTTATGATCTCATGTTGATTGCTTAATACTCAAATATTTGAAAGAGTTTTGATATTACCCTATTTCTTTATAGAAAACTTCAATAGGCTATTGCTCATTGCCTTTACCAAAAAACAGACTTAAGCTCACCTGATTAAAAAAAACCCTCACCTAAAAGGCTAAAAGGGTTTGAGCCCCATTCTTCAGTTTGACAGTTGACACTAAGGTGAAATGAAACGAGTGAAACGAAACAACAGAGTGAATACAACCAGTTCCTGCAAGTACCTCAACATCAGCATATATTCTTGGAAAAGATAAGCAACCTTCATTAAACAGCACCATCTTCTTCGAATATTTTGTAACTTTCGGGTTTATAAGAACGATTTCTTGCCCTTCACCTCGGTTGCCGACGGGATTAAACACCATCAGTTGAACATTAATTCCTACTTGCGGAGCTGAGAGACCAATGCCATCAGTTCTGCTACCACAAATGAAAGCCAACAGTTTTTCACACTACGATTGAATGAATTCCTCAAACACCTACGTTTTACATATTTCCTGAGTGTGTGTATCAATTTGATTTAAAACATATTTAGACTTGCAGCCATTATTTTTGCTAAAAAATTATAATTAACACCCCCGCCCCGCCCCCACCCCCACCCCCCTCCCCCCCAAAAAAAAGCAACTTACTTGTACATAACGTCGAACATTTCATCGACAAGTTTCTTCAAATTCTCATCGAATGTGTCAATTCGTTTATTTCTCTTCCGCAATATAGGGTCCGGGTACACCACGATTTCCAGCGGCGACTCGAACCGAAGATCCTCCGCTTCAAAACAAAACCAAAAAAATGTAACTTCAGAACCATAACTGAAAAAAACCATTTTTATCGACGCTTTACTTACGGGAAGCGATTTTGTTGTCTTTGAATGACAAACCTCGTTTAGCTTGAGCATGGACCGGAGTTAGCAGGGGATTGGTTTGGTTTACCGAGAAAGTGAGGCGCACGGGTGAAGAAAAACGGTTGAGCTGGTGAAGGAAGGCGGTGGAGGGAGCAGTGGGGTGGTGCAGAACGGGAAGGATAACGCGCGTTAAAGACGGAGAGTGGAGGTGGAGCCAACTAGCACAAGCCATTGAAGATCATAGGGACAAGCGTTAATTTCGGGCAACTAAAACATCTGCTTTGAGTGCCGGAATTTTCTGGATTATTATTATTTTGCGTTTTAGTCCCTCTGAATTCTATTTCACCTGAATTTTGATCTTAGCCATTCGTTTGTATCTTTTAACGAAAATAACAATTGGATTAGGCGGATGTAAGTATAATTAAGAGTAGATAAGTGTTTATCTTAAAATTTGAATTGTTTTAGTTTATTATTTATTTTATTAATGTTGAACATTCAGATATTTTTATTTTGTGCCCACCTAACAAATTTTTTATATAGTTAATATTGAACTCACTAGAGTAGAAATTTTGTAGGACCTTATTTATCAATTTTTTAATTAATCATTGATATATGATTTATTGACCGACTAATCTAGATCGTGTACTACAGAGGCGAGGGCGATCCTCCCAACCCAATTTGCTTCATTCACAAACGTCATGATTTGATCTCCTGACATTGTTTAAGGGACCTAGAGCCTCATCCTACTAGACCAACTGGTTGTTGGTATTTATCCATTTAATATAAATACAACCTCTCAATTATTCGTCTCAATTTCAACTTTTTGAAATCTCGAGCGTCTAACATACCATAGAATGTCATGGATAGTCCATAGTTCAACATCAAGCACTGAGCTAGATCCCACGCTGTTAGAGAAGTCATAAATCTAACATATCTATCATTACATGAAACACCAACCGCAACAATTACTCCATCGGACGCACGCCCTGCATCACCAGTGTTTGCCTTTATTCAATTACGTTGAGATCTCTCTCAATGAATTACATCTCGAGTAGCACGGTTCAAGCAAGCATTAGGTCATGACACAGAGTCCCTTTCAATCTCCTTTTGAAGTCGCATTCTCATTGCTATAATGCTATACATAACTTTCTTCAAAAAATGCAAAAATTCCTCCTCTTCCATAGTTTGCAGCATACAATGGCGAACAACGAATCCCAATTGTTGTCAACAATACTAAACAACCCATGGTTGCTTAGGTTAACGTCCAACCATTTCTCCCATGCATTGGACAAGAACTCTCCTCATTTATCATGTTCAATAAGATGCTTCCAAACCCAGCGCATAACATGACATCTTCCCAACCTATGATAAACATCCTCCTTATTAGAGGTATATGCAACTCACGAGTATATGCAAGCTTAGTTAATAGCAGTTAGCTGAGTCAACAACTATTAGGAGTTTGTTAGCTATTAGTTAGGTTGTTAGCATGTATACATTAGCAGTAACTGATTGCTAAACCTTGTATAAAAAGCCTGCAAATGTACAGCTTGACATATAACTTCCATTAATGAATATACTTGTATTCTGTTAAGAAGCAGTAACTCAATATGGTATCAATCGTCAGTGGTTCTGGGTGACTTTAAGGAGTTTCTTTCTGCTGCTCATGACGTTCTTGTTGTCTTGCTCTTACTATGGATCTTACGCTTGGATGTGCGAAGAATTTCTCAAACAAAAAGGTCAACATCGTCCTCGATGAGACAAATTTCTTGTTGTGGAAGCAGTAGATTCTGTTGATAATTCAGAGACACCGCTTGGAACGACTCTTAACCAGAGACATGATGCATCCACCAGAAACTGTGTTAGATGATGATGGCGAGGAACGCCTTAATGAAAGCTATGAAGAATTTGTTGCACAAGATAGTGATGTTGCTTCTTGGCTGCTATCGACCATTAGCCCTTATCTTCTTTCTCAGTTCGTGGGAGCAAAAACTGTTGTAGCAGTTTGGCGAACAATGTTGCAGTTCTTTGCAAACAGGTCCACAACAATGTTAATAAATCTTAATTACAAACTTAACTCATTGAAGAAAGGTGGGGACAACATGCACACTTATCTTACATGAGTGAAAGAGGTGTGTTATGCACTTGCTTCTTGTGGGAGTGTTATCTCTCATGTTGAGCATATTGTTACAATCTTAAAAGGTTTGCCACGTGAATACTAGTCATTCATGGCAATTATAACAACTATGAAATAAACATTGTCATTAGATAACATTTACACAATTCTAATGGATGTTGAGTCACAGTTGGTTGGGTTTGATGAACAAGCTGATCTACTTCCTGTTAGTGCAAACCTATCTCAGGGCAGTATAGGTCGTGGGTCTTTTAATGCTTTTAATCATCAAGATTTCAGGCCAAATCGTTCTGCTAATGGAGCTGTTATGAGAAACCATGGCAGGGGGCGTGGGTGAACCAGGTTACAATGTTAACTATATGGTAAACTTGATCATTTAGTTAATCGATGCTGGCATCGATATGATGAAGAATTCACCTGTGTAACAACTGACAGTTATGGTTCAACCAAAGAAGGTTCAGGGAACACACATTATGCTTCTGGGAAAAGTAGTCAGAATTGTAAATATTATTCTAAAGAATGTTTGGATGCTTCTTCCCCTAGCATGCAACCACATGCAAATGTAGATACTGCAGCTGCTGATCGATGTGTGGTAGACTTGGGGGCCACACACCACGTTACCCCTGATGCGTCTAATATGATAAATCAGTCCGAATTTCTTGGACCAGGTAAGCTTACTGTAGGTAATAGAGTAGCACTTGATATTGATAGGGTTGGTAAAGTTGTTATGTCTTCTGCTTTTCGTGTGTTTTTGCTAAATGACTTGTTACATGTCCCTCAAATAACCAAAAACCTTCTCTCGGTCTCTAATCTTGCTAGGAATAACAATGTCTTCCTTGAGTTCCATGCCAAGAAATGTTATGTTCGTGATGAAGCAACTGGACAAGTCTTGTTGAGTGGTGAAGAAACATATGGCTTATACTCATTTTAGAAAGTCTGTGTAGCAGTGAAGGGATATATCAATATAGCTTCAAAGTCTTTGCCAATTAATGAGTTATGACATAGGCGATTAGGTCACCCCTCTTTTGACACTCCGAATAAAATAGCAAAACTTGTTGTTGTAAAGCTTTCCTTTGATGTAAACAAAGTTTGTTCTGTCTGTCATGTAAGCAAGAGTCACAAACTGCCATTTGATCAATCCATTATTGAATATAATTCTCTCTTTAAGTTTGTTCACATTGATTTATGGGGGCCTCCTCATGTTTCTTCAAACAGATTTTAGTATTATATATCGTTTGTTGATGCTTTCACTAGACATACATGCCTTTACTTGCTTCGCACAAAGTCTCAAGTTGTTGTAGCTTTTCAGCTATTTCAGAAAATGATACACACACAATTTGGAATATCCATCAGTCCAAAGTGACTAGGGTGGGGAGTTTCAATCCTTCACTAATGTTTTAGCCAAGGCTGACATTGTGCATAGGTTGACATATCCACATACGTCTGAGCAAAGTGGTAAGGTCGAGAGAAGACATCATCATCTAGTTGAATTAGCACTGGTTTTATTGTCTCAAGCTTCGATGCCCATAAAATTTTGGTCTTATGATATTATTACTGCAGTAAGCCTTATTAACAAACTACCAACAAAGGTGTTACAAGGAATCTCTCATTTTGAGAAGTTGTATGGAAAGCAACCAGACTACAAAATGCTTAAAGTTTTTGGATGCCTTTGTTTTCCCCATCTTCGACCATTTCAGAAGCACAAGCTAGATTTTCGATCTCAGTCCTACACATATTTGGGTGTTAGCCCACAACACAAAAGATATTAATGCTTAGCTCGTGATGGTCGAGTCTATGTGTCGAGGCACGTGGTATCCAATGAATGGGAGTTTTCTTTTAAAAAGAGATGCATCATCTCAGCTTGTCCTGAAAAAAACATGTACTGCCCTCATGAGCTTGAAATCATCTCAAATATCAAACAGCTTATAAACATGCAAGGTGGCAGTAATCAGGACATGCATGAATCTTTGAGGGGTGAGTCACAAACCTATGAAGGGAATATCAATATACATAAAGGGCTTGCCTTACACATGGAAAAATATCTTGATTTGTAGGGTAGTAGCAATAGCCACATTGATCAGCAGTCGGGACAACCAAACAATGAGGAAGAGCATTCTGATGAGACAGACACTGCTGAAACCCTGGAAGTACATGGTGATACCAATAGTTGTGGTCAAGTAATAATACAAGAGCTTAGTGAACACACTGGAACACGACAGCTACAAAATATCCATCCAATGTTGACGATGAGTAAATGCGATATTTTTAAACCAAAAGCATTCTTAAGTCACTTTGATAATACATTCCCTACGAGTATACAAGAAGCAATGATGTCTTCAAAATGAAAGAATGCAGTTCAGGCTGAAATTGATGGTTTAAAGAGGAATGAGACATGGTCGTTGGTTAAACTTCCACCTGGACAAACGGCAGTTGGCTGCAAATGGCTGTTTAAACTAAAACATAAATATGATGGCTTCATTCATTGGTACAAGGCCCGATTAGTGGCTAAGGGGTTCACTCAAGTCCAGTGGCTAAATTCTCCACAGTAAATGTTATACTTACCTTGGCAGTTTCTAATGCATGAGAGTTGAGACATATAGACATAAACAATGCCTTCCTCAATGGTGACCTTAAAGATGATGTATTCATGCAACAACCACCAGGTTTCGAGTAGGTGTCTGATGATGGCTCTCCCTTGGTGTGCAAGTTATAGAATGCACTATATGGATTAAAACAAGCACTCCAAGCTAAAGGAAGTCTTATTGGAAATAGGGTTTCAAGTTTCACGAGCATACTCATCCTTATTCTTTAAAGATAGTGGCAGTGGTCGAGTATACTTATTAGTATATGTGGATGCCATAATGATCACGGAAGGGTCCTCGCATGAGATTAAAGCAGTGGTTGATATTCTACAAGGGAAATTTTCTCTCAAGGATTTGGGAGCATTGAGTTATTTCATAGGGATTGAAGTGTTAAGGAGTAGCATGTCACTTGTGCTTAGTCAAAAGAAGTTTGCATTATAATTACTAGAAAAGACTGGTATGAAAACAACTGTTGTATGTTCCATGCCTATGACATTGGCTTGCAAGCTGTCTCGCGAGGAAGGAGAAATGTTGGAGGATGCAAGTG